AGACTGACTGAGACTCACTGAGACTGACTGACTGACTGACTGACTGACTGAGACTGACTGAGACTGACAGACTGACTGACTGACTGACTGACTGACTGACTGAGACTGACTGCTTACAGATTCCATCTTTTTGAAAATTCCCAATTGTTAAGCAACCAAGACTTTATGAGCAGTGACTAAACATTTCTGCAGTCTTGATTTGGAGCACAGACTTGAAGACATGATCACACTGTAATGACGTGTAAGAAACAACAAGACAGTGGAAACAACAAAGGCAAAGGTGAATTAAACACTTGGAGGAGAGTTACGCAAGAACACAGGTGCTACTGTTCCACACCCATATCTAACACACACACACACCCCTGGCCCATCTGCATCACATATTTACACCAACTTAAGAAAAACAGGAACATTGTGCTCCTGAAAATATCTGCTTCCCTTTTCTCCATCCCCTCCAGCACAAGACAAAGGCATTTTTCATGAGTGAGCATGAAGGATGTGTACTCAGACGTTTGGGGAACTCAGAGCCGGTGGGAGAGCTTGAGCGTTATGCGACAACATGAAAAACAAATTTATGGGTGACCCCATTTGTGACTGTGAGGGTCACAGTGCAGCAACCCACCATAAAACTTGTTTGTGGTGTGTTTTTAAATGTATGCATGTGTGTGTGTACACTGATATTTGTGACTGGGTCCCGTTTATAATTTTGTTCAGTATATATATATATATATATATATATATTCATTTATAAACAAAACAAAAAAACATTATTTTTCACATTATTTTACCAGCATCATTTAAGTTGGTACAGCATATTTCCAAGATAATCAGTTAGCTAATTTAACATATTCCTATATATGTAGTTACATTTTTAAATAAACATAAAAACAAAAATCTCATACTTTAAAATGTAATATATTGTATCGTTAAAAATAATATTTTTTCAGTATATATGGTAAAATAACTTACATTTAACTAATTAACAGATAATAGTGTTAAATTATTTTCTCTTTATTTTTTAATTTTTTTAATTTTAGTGTAGGTAATCTATTTTTGTTGTTATTTATTTATTTATGACAAATATTGTATTAAAAACTGGCAGCTGTGCTTCCCATTAAAAAAAAAAAACAATGTTGCAACATTATGGGATATAAGTGAATATATTTTACAGGTAAGGGTGATTAATTAGCTAATTTATTTTATTGGTATAAAAATATATCGTTAAAAAAAAATAAATAAAATACAAACTTTTACTTTCAAATTTAATGTATTGACTTGTTAAACATAAACATTCTGCTATATATAAGTTAAAACCTACAAGTAACAAATGAACAGGTAGCTAATGAATTTACAGTGTAGTTTTTCTTCAAACACAACCTTCACTTGCTCTAACAGCTAAAATGAGCATGTGTATAAAAACACATCCGATATTCTCTGTCTGACATCTACAGGTTCCCCGTGTGGTGTGTTGATTGTGTATATATGGCAGTAATCACTCTGCTGTAATAAATGTGCTGTGGAGCAGACACTTCATTAGTCAGCTGTACAGAGCTGAGTCACAGCGGCCTGATGAAGTCCTCGCATAATCAGCTTCTGAGGTGGCTATGGCACAGCGCACATACACACACACACAAACCAGAAATATCCCGACATGATTAAATAGGAACAAGGGGAAATGTCGAGAAAGGGCCTAGTAACCGAAAGAGACGACAGGAGAGTGAATTAAAGCCTAATGCGGCTGCTTACAGGAAATAGCGTTGACAGCTCAGGATTAAACAGAGTTGTGCTGAGGGGTTTTGGGAGACAAAACAAAAACCGTGAGACATAGAAAGCCAGGGAGTGTGAGAGAAGGTCAGAGGTCAAGGATCTAATTAACACCAGGCTCTGTGCACTGAGCCGGGTTAAAATATCTCAAACCATCAGCGCATTTTAACACCAGACACCTCTATGGCAACCGTAATCTAAATAAAACAACAGCCGAAGACCGGAGGGACAACACCGCGCGTTTCACAATTCACATTTCGAAAGAATTTCACAGAGACCCACGGCGTTTATTTGGAGACGTTCCGCTTTTTGCGCACACAGAACTTTTGTTTGCTGCGTGATGGGGCTTCTCCTTCGTTTTCAGATGAAGTTTTGATGGCAGGATGAAAGGAGGAGTAGAAGCAGCTGATGTCTTGTAACTTCTCCAAACGTTGAAATGAGAAGGAAATAGGTGGCCTTCTTACTTTCGATTAAACAAGCACATTTTATTTTATCACAAGAAACCCACAAAATGATTGCACATTCCAGATTGGATGAAAGCAGTGACAAAACAAAAGAGAAGAAACTATATTTTTGCATTTTTTGAGGGAAATGAAATTGGTGATGCTAGAATGATCTAAAAGTTTGCCAAGTCATTTCTATGCAGTCGTTAGGGCGTTTCGTGGTTGCTAGGGTATTTTGTGAGGTTACTTGCTGCCCCAAATCAAAAGAGCCCACATTTAACGTCTCTATGATGTTCTGCTCTCTAGATATGGCTCAAGTACCTTCAATGTAAATCTAAGTGTTTTTTGTAGTTATTCTGATTTTTTTTAACTAATCTGTGCTTAAATAGCTTGAGAAAAAAACACAAACAATGTCATTCATTAGCTACTTTAAACATATTGCTAAAAATTTAATAAAATATTTAAAGAAATACAAAAAAAATCAGATTTACACTAGTTTAAAATGTAATATGGCTCAAGCCCCCTTCATCCACCACTGGATACCTTCCTTGGGCCAAGTGTGTGGACCTTACACCTGCTTCAATGTAAATAAGTGTTGTTGTTTTTTTTCTGTCAATTTACTGATAAATAATGTCACTAATTTCAAAAATGAATGTGTTTTTTAAAGCTTAACTAGTTTGGGGGTGAGGGACATGCAAAAACAAAAGTAAAATGAAATAAAGGGAAGCCTTTCCAAACACCTCAACAATGTGAAACCAATAGCAAAAGATTTCAGACCATGTTTAGGCCACTTTATGTTTTGTTGGCCAAATCATTCTGTTTTTTTGTTTTTTAAAGGTTTATTTATGGCGTTTTATGCCTTTATTTTGATAGGACAGTATAGGTCGACAGGAAGTGAAGTGGGTGAGAGAGAGGGGGATGGGATCGGGAAAGGTCAACGAGCCAGGACTCGAACTCGTGACACCCGAAGCGCAATGGCGCTGTATGTCGGCACGCTGCCCACGAGGCCATCGGCGTCGACTGGCCAAATCATTCTTAGCAATATACTGAAATGTTAATGCTTAATTTGTCACCAGAACAACAACTTGGTTCACAATAGTACAACAAAATGTACTTCAGCCCTTCACAGCCTCAAGTTTACATGTCATATATAATCAATAGATACTCAAACGTAGCAGTAACGTTTTCCTACTGAAATACAAGTGTAAAGCTATTTTGCTATTTTGTTTGTGGCTAACAGCTCTAGCAAGCTAAGAAGGTAGGTTTCACAAATTGCTACGCACATCTAACTTAAAAAGAAAATACATATTCAGTTTTTGGTAAGTTATTTTCAAGTACAATTGCATAAGGGGTCTTAAAGGGATAGTTTAGTACGTCCGACCTCTTGTGAACGCTCGTACGACAGTTAGCGGAAACTAGAGATTACGGTTTATAATGTTTTAAATATGGATATTTTTCTTACAAAAACGCATCAATTCACTTCAGAAGGCCTTTATTAACCTCGCGGAGCCATGTGGAGCACTTTTTATGATGGATGGACGCACTTTTTTGGGCTTCAAAATCTCGACCCCCATTCACTGCCATTATAAAGTTTGGAAGAGCCAGGGCATTTTTTAATATAACTACAATTGTATTCGTCTGAAAGAAGAAAGTCACATACGCCTAGGATGGCTTGAGGGTGAGTAACTAATGAGGTAATTTTCATTTTTGAGTGAACTATCTCTTTAAGTATGTTGATGTTTTCACAGTGTAGTGCAGAGTCACTAGTTTGGATCACTAGTTCTGACTGACTATGTGGTATTGCGTGATTGGCTGTGTGTTTTAAACAGTGGACGAAAAAGGAAAATGCTGAGTTTAAAAAATTTCATTCAGCATTTTTCTTGACGGAGGGTGTGAATGATTGCGACATCCAGTAAAACTACATGTGTGAAAGTGGAAAATACCATCCCCACCCAAACACACACACAGTTCAAGATTGCTTTGAAGACATGCACAGTGTGTGAAGAAATGTCAACGAGTGTTAGCGATAGAAGAGTGAGATAAGTGCTAGTTAGCAGGTGCGAAAACAGCAGTGTGTGTGTGTGTGTCTGTATGTACAATCATATCAGTTAGCTTTAGCAAATTGCTAAGCATGTATGCAGTCTTAGCTATACTAACGAGGGACAATTTTAAAAAAATCGCCTCACAAATATAGTGAAACTTGTTGTAAACTGATATGTAAGGACATGTAAATAATTCTAACCATTGAAAGACAAACTAATTAGTCAAATCAAAATTACCTTTTGCTTTAGCTTTATAAATTTAGCTTTTAGCATTAATAATGCACTGCAGTGATGACGTGTTTTTTGTAGGCCATCCCAGATGTTAGCATCACCCTGGTTTCCTCAACAAAAACCCAATAAGGTTCTTGCATTGGCTTTTGGTTTATTGCAGAAAATAAGCTCTGTGACCCACAAAAGTTTCTGATTCTTACACATTTTTGTCATTAAGATAATGAAATGACCACAACTTTATTAATTTTGAGGCCTAAATACAATCGGCGGAAGTGGAAAGCTAAATGCAGGATATAAACAAACTACACCACAACTACACCATGACTAAAGGCCCGTTCACACCAAGCACGATAACTATAAAGATAACGATAAAGATATAGTTCTAAAAATCTTTCTCAATATTAAAGAATAGCATAGTTCACACCACAACTATAACGATAA